GGTGTGGGCACCTTGCAAAGTTAGGTCTCAGGAAGAACATGTTTATGTTCTGTTGACAAGGTGTGCTCTGCCTACAAATTCAGAATGGTTGTTGCAGAGTCACTGAGATGGCTGGAGTGGGGCACTGTGGCATCCTTGTGTGGTTGTGATGTAAGGGTACGTGCCCCTCCCTACCATCATGAGCTTCATGCGTGGGCAGCTTGTGGGTATTATTCATACAGTCCTGACTGGTTGCCACGAGAGGTTTGGACTCTGCGGGAAATTTCAATTCAATTTTTCCATTTTCTAGTTCTGTGTTTTTCTCGTTCCTTCTGAAGCTGTGAACACATTTTGGATATTTGGAGGGGGCGTATTCTGCTGGTGTAAGCAGTATTGTACCTCCAGTGCGATATGTCCTGATGTAATATGAGCATAGGATTGTTACATTACTAACCTGCAGTGGGAGAGTTTATGTTATTATCAGCATGACAAAACAATTACCTTGGGTAATAGGACAAGTATTTTCTCATACATTTCAATAATCATAGGCTGAATTCTTTGTATGCTTTACACTGAAGGAAATGACTAGTTGTTTTGATGAGGACTTTGTCAATGCAAGAACCAAAAGATTAATCCCACACATTTTTATAATAAAAAGGAAGCTCTGTTGGGACTCTGCTCCTTTGAATTACCCACTGACTCATTAATCTTCTATACCTTTACAAGGGTGAAGTAAGTCCTATCAAACCATTCAAAATTAGGTAGACAAGGGAGCACTTCATTTCCTAATATTCAGCCAACACCTTATATGAGATGTTTTACTTTCTTGCAACCATAGAATATATGTACCATATCAATTTGATCATGTATTTTCTTTGCTCAGAAGGAAGCAAACTGATTCATGGCTATGCTCCTTTTATAATCTAAAGTAAAACACATGAGACATTGTGAATAAAGGGGGTTTTTTTGCTTCCCATTGCGGTAGTTATATATAATTTGCTTGTGCAGAACAATTACTTCTAGTATAATGAGAATGCTGTTATTTACTGCTCATCCACTATGTTAATTAACTACAGTTTAGATAACTAAAGTGAATTAATGTCATTGTTCACTAGAAATGGGTAATGAACCATCTGATAACATCATTGATTCATACAGTTGCAAAGTCTTTAGGGGGGGAAATATTCTCTGAACTGCTAAGTTCCTGCCACACCTTACAACATAATCCAAATGGATTTTCTAAATTTTTGTTTACATTTTAATGAAAAGTTTCAGTGGAGCAAGGGAAATGAAAAAAGAATGAAACAAAAAGAAAAGTGTTCCAAAAGGTAATCCAAATGCTATTTGTTATTCAGTGGTTGACTTTCTCTCTCTTTTCCTGGTAAGGCTCTCATGACTTCCATGGGTATGTGATTAGTAAAAAAAAACTCAGCATGCTGTAACTTTGTGTATAAATGCAGTGATGCCAAAAGTGTCAGCTGACATGGATAATATAGTTCTGCTGGTCATGTAGTTTCGGGCTGCACTGAACTAAGTTAGATTCAGAGTAGCTTGATTGAAATTAATGAGCCTAGGTTAGTCATGTCCACTAATTTCAATGGGTCTACTCTGAGTAGGACTAATGTTGGCAATAACCATTGTTCTAAGAAACCCCTAGTTTCTTTAAGGAAAACTACTACAGAGTTGCTTGGAAAGCTAGCCTAAGGCAATACCCACTCTTAGTCATACTCAGTGTATACATTCATTGATATCCATCCATTCGTTTTAATAAGGCTTCTTTGGGAATGACTTTAGTTGGATATTACCTATAAAATATTGCAAATGAAATACGCATGTTACATATGCATGGCACTTGTTTTCATCTTTGATTAATAAATCAGTCACACTGGAGAAACAGTCTTTGCATTTCCTTTAGTATGCAAGTACAGTGGTGCCTCGGGTTACATACGCTTCAGGTTACAGACTCCGCTAACCCAGAAATAGTGCTTCAGGTTAAGAACTTTGCTTCAGGATGAGAACAGAAATCGTGCTCCGGCGGCAGCAGGAGGCCCCATTAGCTAAAGTGGTGCTTCAGGTTAAGAACAGTTTCAGGTTAAATAGGGACCTCTGGAACGAATTAAGTACTTAACCCGAGGTACCACTGTATATTCCTTTTACAAACACCTGCTTCACAAAGAAAGGGGTTTGGAGAAGGTCCACTTTTAACAGCAAAGTGTGCACATGGCCAAGGGCTGGTAAACCTCATATTCGAAATCCCTGAGTACTTTTCTCCTTAGCCAACCTTTAATATAAGAAATGAGCTCAGCTGCAGGTTGTTTTGCAATCCTCATTCATCTGCCCAATGGCTGTTAAAACTGAACCCGCACTCACTCCCCTCTTTCTGTGTGAATGGGGCCGGCCCAGATTTAAACACCCATGTCTGGCAATGTTTGGCCCTAGCTCTACGCTGGATTGAGCTTGCTATTTTTATTTGCTAAGAATGGGAACAGAAACAATTTGTTAGCTACCCATCTCTTGAGCAGATAAAGTCCTACAACAACTTGTGGAATACTTTAGCAAAGACTATTATGCATATGCACACATAGGTAGCCAGATAGTAGTACTGTATTGAGTTTATTAAAGCAAGGCAGATACAACATTCCAAGAGCCAACTTGTGCCACAGCAGGGCCTTTGTTTACTAGGCCAAAGTCTGATGTAAAAATCAATAAAGGTTACAGCCATTGCCTGTTTGGGCCCTTGATGTATTCAGAGATTAAATGTGTGACACATGAGACTGATCACTAATCCTTTCTGAAGTGAATCTGCTCTTCTTCAATAACAGAATTTACCGGTAAATTATCCCAAAACTGCAACTTTTGGAGGAGGGACTGGATGTATCGCTTGGATGAAGCTGGTACACAGCACTAAAATCACAGCTACTTTGCTCTTCCCCCTGCTCTTGCAAAGTAAACAATGGTTTGGCATAGCATTATGTTTGAACCTGGAATTGTGGTTTGTCTCTTGCAAACAATCCATGAGAAGCCAGGAACAAACCTATGAGCTCAATGTTTGTTTGGAGTTAAGTGTAACTGTGATTTATCCATAAACCTCGCCACAGAATTAGGTTAGAAGTCCCCATACAACGCCACTAAATAGTCAATTGTATTAAAATCAATTTATACTGAACTATCATCCATACAATTTTTAAAATGGTGGGACAATAACTACCCTTATTTACAAAAGGCTTTTAGTTCATGCAGAGCATTATTCAATCAAGATGAGTATCATACTGAAAATGAATTTTCACAGAGCCACAATGTCTTTTTAAAAACTACCCACAGAGCCTGACCACTTGACATATTTTAAGTTAGTTATGTCATTGAGATGCACACTTCTTTTGAGTGTTTAATGATGGCTGATGGTGCACCTAACATGCCCAGCCTTAGTTTACATAAAAGTTCATCACCAGAAAGACACCAAAACATGTCAGTATTTACATAATATACAATATAAAAATAACTATCTTAAAGAGCTATATTTCCATTAGTCTATTCCTCATATAAAAATATGTACCCTAAATAGATTTTTCCTTTTGTTACATTTTTGAAAAGTTATACTCAGAGGACAAGAGGTTTGTATATTTTGTCAAACTCTTATGGCATTTAGAATCACACAGGTTTTCATTAGTTTGCAAAAACTATTATATATATTCTCTGAATAAAACAAGACATATCTCCACCTGCAATCTCAGCCATGCCTACTCAGAACTGAGTCCTATTGAGGTCAATGGTGCTTACTTCCAGGTAAGTGGGGCTGGGATTGCAGTTTAAATTGATAATATAAATACAGCACTGAGGTAGAGATGCTTAGGGCTTTTTCTTCTCTTTTCTTTTTAAGTTGGCTAGAGCTGGTTCTCCAAATTCATTGTATATTTTGTTTTCTGCATGCAGTAAAATTCTTACTAGGAGGCATTTTTAATACAAAGTATAAAATAAAATGAACTGCCCTTCTCTCCAGCATGCCACTAAAATTATGTATCCCTTTTCAAACATAATTAAAACTGTAATTTTAAAAAATGACATTTTGAATTTTTGGCATCTGCTTTAAAAGCCAAAATAAAGCTTTACTACGGCATAACTAGTGATCCCTATTAACCATAGGGATCACAGATTCACTGAACTGTAAGGTGGATTTCATAAGAATTGCATCCAATGCAAACTATTACAGAACACGTTCAATGTTTTTAATACTAAATATGGCACAGCATTAGGAAGGCAGCACTACCTTTAATTAACTCATTAATCTGTGCTGACAGGCATGGATGGGATGCAAAGAACCTCCCTGAAATGATTTTCATTCCCAGATCAGAAGTTTTTAGAGGCTATAAAGGAAACATTTTGTTCTTTAAAAAATGTGCATGCCGTGAACTGAACATAGTGTTTGTTTCAAGATGTACTGCTTTATATGCAGTGGCATCTATTTGAAGTTGACATTTTTATTCCTGTCCTTTTCAGACATGCAACTCAATCCTATTCATGCTTCCTCAAAAGAAGTCAACTGTATTCCATAGGACTTCCTTACTGCCAAGAAAGAGTCTTAATCCTATACAAACTCACCTGGGAATACGTCCCATTGGCTTGCGTATTACTTCTGTGTCTGGGACTGCACTGTTACTTAATTCATTTGGTTTTAATGGACCTTTCATCACGTAACAAAATAAGGGTCTCACATTAAACTCACTCACTAAAACAAAAGAAAACAAACCAAGCCCTGCATGAAATGTCACATGGATTTAGTAAGGGTAATTTTTGCTGAGCAAAACTATTTTCAGTGAAATGTATGAGGCAAAGATCACATTCAGGAAAACTGAATTCAACTGGTATTCAGATACAACCCTATAGAGAATCCATTCAGTCCCTGGATTAGACATGCTAATGAGAAACATATTTAAAAACACAAAAGCAGAAGTATTTCTGTGAAAGAATAAGCAACACATAACTGCTTCACTATTCATATTATTTTGATTTCAGCAAGACAGAGCCTAGTGACCAAAAAACAACTCTGAAACTGGTCTGCGTTTTGTCGTTGCTTCCTCTTGGTCATCTTCCACTGCCTCAGATAAGGAAGAATAGGATGAGAAAGTGCCTCTGGACTTCAGCTTCCTCCTTGGGGTCGAGGCTGCATTAAATAACTTATTGAGCGTAGCTGGTTTCTTTAAGCCTTTGGTCAGCTCATAGAAAGCAGTGTCATCAGACAAAAGCCCCAGGACAGCACTAGTGGAACTCAAAATGGAAGCCGCCACTTTGGGGTTCTTCTTGATGGAGGCGTTGTGTCCAGAGACCGTGTGAAGGTGGGGGTCCCGCAAGAGGTGTCTGACTGCAAAAGAGGAGCCCTCTTTCAAATATTGAAAGGGTTTCTTCCCACTGTAGTCTCTCAGGTGAACGTTGGCGTCGTAATCCCTGACCAACTGGGCGATGACTTCCTCTTGCCCATGTATGGCGGCGATGTGGAGCGGGGTATAACCGCCGTAGGACTTGGAGTTCACGTTGACATGAGCGCCACCTTTCTCGGCCACCTCGATGACTTTACCCAACATCTCGCAGTTCCCACTCTTGGCTGCCCAGTGCAGAACGGTGAAGCCAGTCATGAAGTCCCTTTTGCTCGCCAAGTTCTTGTCGCTCAGCAGCAGGCCGTGAAGCTGCTGGGACCACTGGCCGGCTGTGGCCTTCACCAGCCACTCGTGCTCAGCGGCTTCCAAAGGGACGGTCGTGGTGGGACAGTCCGCTTCCTCGCCCACCTTCTGAGACTTCGGCACCCTCCTCAGGTAAGGGGAGCTAGACCCCATCTCTTCCAGCTGACGCCTCTTCATGTAAGGCGACGTAGAGGGGGTGATGGCCGGGAGCCCCACTTGGAGCCAGTCTTTGACTTCGGGCTGCTTCGGCTCAGGGCTTGGGTCCTTGGGCTCCTTGGCCCCGCTGGCAGGCAGCACACAGCGCACAGGCAGCATGCAGGGTTTCTGGGGGGCAGCTTTGGGAGCCAACTTCTCTTGGTCGCCGGGGGCTTTGGGTGCCTCCATGCCCTCCTTTTGAAACAGGCTCTTCAATTGGGACACAGGCATTGTTGGGCTCGCCTCAGGCCCGCTTTCCTGCTCTGGACCCTCTGGGCCGGCATGGCAGGCAGGCGCCAAAGTGGCTGAGCCTTCCTCTCCTTCCTCTTCCTCCTCCTCGCCAGAGCGCCCCCCAGCGGGCGCTGCGCTCACTTCCGCCTCCTCCAGGCGCCAATTCTTCCTCAGCACCACGAACTTCGCTCCGTCTTCCTCCTTCACGACGGCCACGTTGTTGACGAAGTGCTTAAACCGCTCGCGGAGGGCGGCTCGGGCTTCGGGCTCCCCGCCGGGCGCTTCCAGGAGCGGCTTGAAGCGGCTCAGCAGCTCCGAATTGCGCACCTTGCCGCCGCGCTCCCGCAGGAAGCCCAGCACGGCAGCCTGGCTCAGCTCGGGCTCAGCCATGCCCGCCTCAGCGCGGACAGACGCAGCGCGGGAAGAGAGAGAGTCGTCGGCGGCGGCGTCGCGCGCTCTTTCCCGGGCGGGTGAAGCCACCTGCTGCTGCTGCTGCCGCTGCCGCCGCCTCTACGGAGGGAAGGAGCAGCTCTGGCGCTCTCCCAGCTGGCCGGCAGCGCGGCGGGGTGGAGTGCAGGAGAAGGAAAGGCCACCCACAGCCGAGGTGCCTGGGAGTTGTAGGCGAGGACACACCTGAGGCGGAAGCCCCGCGCGCCTCTCCCGAAGCCGAGCGCGGCTTCCAGGCACCGCCGCAAGGCTCTCCCCACCCCCGCCTCGCTTTCCCAAGTGGTTGCGCCCGCAAAGCGCGCATCTCGGGCTCCATCCCACGCGAAGAAGATAAAAGCGAGGCGCACTCCCCCCCCCCCCGCGCAAGTCAGAAATGAAACGTTCCTACACTCGTTGCCATTGATTCCCAGGAGTGGCTGCGCGGCCAGTGGCCGGTTGGACGGCTGCATCGCCATCGCACCGAGCTAAACCAGCAGCTCGTTGATCGAGCGTGGTATCCAATGCGGCGGGCATCGTGGACCCGGCAGAACCGCTTATTTGCTCGTGCAGCTGCCTTGAAAATATTTTCAGGGTTGTTCGTAGTAGTAACCTTGCCTATGCACGCTTTAATAGAATGCTCTGATAAGGAGAATTAAACGCGTCTGCAGTTGCCATCAGCGATATCTGGTAGAGCAAGAACCGCAGAGGGAGAGGACATATTTAGGTGAATATATATACAGACCATCCACCCACTCTTATTGCTACGCTTACTTGTTTATAATCCGGCTTTCTCGAAGGCTGTGTACACATTGCCGTTTATTCGGGCTCTTGGGCGCTCCCACTGCTGGTGTTTCCAGCTGAGTACACGTGAGGATGTTAGCCAGGATCCATACGCATCCTGTAGCCGCTCCAGAAATTCTGCTGTTTGATGCATTTCCCCCTCAAGCCAGCTTCCATCTGATTTGAATATGCAAGCTGTGGTTAGACTGAGGTGTGTGCACTTGACACAGCTGCTTGTCCACAGGTGAGAGCCTCACTGAATAGTGAAATGTTAAATTACAGCTCCCAGGATTCTTTGGGGGAAGTCATGTGCTTTCAGTGTGCTTTGAATGTAATCTAACTAGAAAGGTGGTCCTACATTTTGGGCTTGTACACACTTCCTCTTGTCCTGCTGCTTCCCCCTGGGGGAACCACTCTTTAGCACTCTATTGGACCAAACAGCAGTTCGGGTTTTCCATGCATTGTCGTTTGTTCCTGTTTAAAGCTAAAGAGAGGACATGCTGTACTGGCATGTTGGCAGAACAACTCTGCAATACAGAGATGTCTGCAAATGTGACTTGAAGACTGACAACATCAACCCCATCATGTAGTAATCTCTTGCAGACAACCACAGTGCCTGGAGACAGACAGTCAACTTGTTTATCCATAGCAGTGACCAGAGGAGAAATGACCACTGGAAGGAGCGCAGAGAGAATAAATGCCATGGTGCATCTTCAGCAGCACAACCAGATGCCTACATCTGCACTAAGAGCAACAAAACATGTCTCTCCCGTATTGGTTTCTACAGCCACAGCAGGTGCTGTAACCTTCCAACAATCTGACTTCACCCCCAGAGGCACACTCCTCCATTGTCTTCTGAGAAAGATGGATGCCAACCCAACCCTAACCTTTTAGCCAACAGGTGGAGAGAAAATGTTACCTTAATCTGAACCCGATCAGAAATTTGTAGAAGCAAAAGAATGCTAAAATTATCCTTTCCACATGAATAGATGACACAAATGACCACCTCCCTCATGTTTCCATGTCTGCCATGGTAAGTTATTAGAATAGTATGTAGTGGACTGCATTTCCCTTCCTTAAGTGATTTTAGAAGAAGGAATAAGCTTTGCTAAGAAGTTGTCTTCCATCTCGATAATATTGCACAGTCCACTCTTTCGCTACCTACAGCTGGATATGGAAGAGATTAAAGGGGTCGGCAGCAACAGCATTTTTTAATTCCACTTGCCAAACTAACTTCTAAAGGCAATGGATCAAATAATTTTTATAGCAAGATTGCCAGGGCTAATAAAAGATGCTCACTTGATTTATTTCTGCCACAATTTCCTGAAGTAATGAATACTTGTTGCCCTCAGTTATCAAGCCAAAGCCACAGCTTTCAGTACAATTATTGAGGTTTGTAAATTGCATTTTTATTGTTCCCAAGAACCTCTCGTCTGTATGCATCTCAAGCTGGAGTTTTGGTGACACATATATTTCCAGCTGGCTATTAAATCTGCCTGCTTCTGTAAAGCATAACAGTCCATAGGTTTACATGTAGGGAGCAGCACTCGAGTGCAGGGACAGAAGTGAAGCACTTGTACAGTCATACCTTGGAAGTCGAACGGAATCCGTTCTGGAAGTCCGTTCGACTTCCAAAGCATTTGGAAACCAAAGCGTGGTTTCTGATTGGCTGCAGGATGCTCCTGCAGCCAATTGGAAGCTGTGCTGGACGCTTGGCTTCCAAATTTGTTCGAAACCAGAACACTCACTTCTGGGTTTTGATCATTCAGGAGCCGATTTGTTCGGGATCCAAGGTATGACTGTATTATACATGACTATGGTGTGCGGGGTTTTTTGTCATAATTGTTTCGAATATATGAAAATGTGCTATTGTTTTTATTGCTGATGGTTTTTATTGTGAAATCACTTTGAAGTATTTGATGGGAGGCAATTTGTATGTGGAAGCAAATACATTTCTATGGGCAGGAGCAGGGTAGGTGGAGCAGGGGCTCCTCTGTGCTGGCACCTTGCATGGCAATGGCATCCTAAACGTCTGTTGGGTCCACTAGGGCCTAAATGAAACTGGTACCACCTTGCTGATGTGATGGTCAGGATGGGTGCGGCAAGTGTGGTGTCCCCTGCCTTGCTTGCCCAAATTGTATCTGGATATGACAGTTTTAGTGGCTCAAGTCATCGTTTACTCTGCAGCTGCTGGGACTGTTAGGCAAGATTTCGTGGTTTAAATTTAGCATTCTGAAAGGAGCATTGCACTGCTTCGGATTGCCAAATGAATTTGTTATTGTAATGTAATTAAATATATTGCTACATGAAAATGAATAGGATCATGCCTTTTTAGGTTTCTGAAAAAAATTAGAAGTGCTCTGCAATTCTTGCCTCTAGTCCCTGTTAATACTGATGTATGCTTTGGCAGGACCAAAAAGGCCTTTTTGCAGGAAGACTACACTACACAACAGTACCATGTGTTTGTTTTTGTTATGCTCTCAGGGTCATGAAATTAAATCCTGATCTACCCAACTGTTTGCAAGGGGGTGATTTTGTGCCAAATCTGCCGGGGAGGCAGAGAGTGGTGTGGTTTTTATAATGTCTTTCAAAATCAAATGGGAAGGTGAAAGTGTATGCATGAAAACATTAGCAGACCTTTTCGCTGTGTAGACGCTTGTACAACTAATGAAATCAGCTCTGGATAGACTCTTCCAACAGGGAAGGGCCATGACTCAGTGGCAGAGCATATAATTTGCATGCAAAAGCTCCGGGTATCAGAGAGAGTATACCTCTGAATACCAATTGTTGGGGCACACAAATGGGGGAAGCTTCCCCTACAGCTGGCCACAGTAAGAACAGGATGCCTTTGGCCTGATCCAGCAGGGCTTTTCTTGCTTATGCTAGCTTCAATTGCTGGTCTCTCCATGTAGGGTGGGGAAAGGCTCCTGCCTGAGATCCCAAAGAGCCACAGTCAGTGTAGCAGACAATACTGAGCTAGATGAACGTGGTATAAATCAGCTTCTTATGTATCTAACAATAGTCAGAAATCTTGAGTGAGCCTAACCACCTTGTGTGACTTTCGATCCATACAACTCAGAGTCATATGATATATTCACTAACCCCCATTGTGTCAAGGCACTGGTTCCGATTGTGCATAGCCTCTCCTGACCCAGATTTAATAGATAAGTAGTGCTGGGTGCCATTGGCATCCTGATAACATTGTGCCCCACATATTCCGGTGACATTCCAGGAATGTCTGCAGCTTTAAGCCTCTAGAGCGCCTGGTCTAGAAAAGAGGTATCAATGACCGGGTGATAGTTGTCAGGTGCCTCAGGGTCCAGGGAGGATTTCTTCAGGAGGAGATATACCACCACCTCCTTCAAGGGACCACTGTCTCATGTGAGGATGCGTTAGTTACCTTCTTCAGCCACTCCCAACCCAACCTGTTCAAACAAGCCAGGATGGGCAAGAGTTGAGGCGGCAGCTGCTGGGATGGACAGTCACAAGCACATCATCCACATCTTCAGGCCTCAGTAACTGGAACTGACCCCACAGAATCAAATAGGACAACACCAGGCACCTCACCAGAGCAGAGGCTGCTTTAACAGGAGCATCAAGATCTGTGTGCACGCAAGTGATTTTATCCTCAAAGCGCCTAGAGAACTTATCACACCCGGCCTGTAATAGTTCCCATGTCCCATTAAAATTGGGGCAAGTGACTAAACCTCCTGCCAAAACAGTCTGCAGAATGTTCTGCCATGCTGGGTCTTGCTGTCTTAATACAGCCTGATCCTTCTTTTGCTTATAACCCTCTGGTGTTTGTTGGCTTCTTGTGTAACTTCCTTGCCCCGCCTTTCACATTGTTGACACACTACCGCGCCCTTTGCTGAGGCTACCTGTTTTGTTTGTGGGAATTTTGTGGAGATGACCTTTCTCCTGGAAACACCTCTTTGCCTTACAGAGATTCTGCAGTGCTGATATATCTCCTGCAGAAGGCTGTCCTGAGTCTTTCTAGCAGCAACAGCTATATAGTGCCATCCCTCTTTCTGATGGAATCATTTGACTTCATTACTTCTTCTGTGTTCCTAAAGCCCTTGTCTATGTTGGGTTTTCTTATATTTTCTGGGTTAAGCAAGCAAAACTGAATGAAGCACACACACCTCGTTTTAAGTGAGTCTTTGAAGAGGCATTCAAGCCATTGA